TGGGGCCGGGCATGCGTTTCGTGTCAACTTCTAAAGCGTTGCCATGACTATTATCAAGTTGGCATTCGAGGGAGGATTCCATGCATACCTTTGGCCAGAGTTGGGTCTCATATTTCCACAACCTAGTTTGTGAATATGATGTATGACGTATGACAGAAGGGAGGAGATGGAGGAGTAAAGTTCAAACGCAATTAAGCGAAAGCCAGTTTAGGCTCCATAGAAGATCAAGCCAAGATGTAGATCCTAATAAATGAATGTTTTTTGTTTGAACTTTGTCTCGAGGCTTGTAAATTAATTAGGTCAGCTCTTGGGAACTTCACATCTTGGGTACGCGCGCTGCACATGCATGTGCATGCCACCGCTGCTGTCCGATTTCTTCTGCGGCCACTTGCAACTGCTCCCGGCCAGACGCCATGTGGTTCACATAACCAGACAACTGGGCAAAAGATGGAGTAAAAATCAATGGTGCTTATTTAAATCGTTTAAGATTTGTAGATTATGTTGTTCTCTTCTCACAAGACCCAGAAGAGTTACAAAGATACATACAAGAGCTGCACAAAGCAAGAGAACCATTTGGCTTAAAAAGAAACCTGAAAAAAGCCAGGTTATGTTTAATGAATTCACCAAAGAAAGAAAAAAATGTATCTGGACAAGAATTAAATGTAGTAGACCACTTCGTATACTTTGGCCAATGGATCTCAGTGGAAGGTGATACAATAAAGGAAATTGAACGGCATGTTAAAAGGTGATTGGCAGGCATTCGGCAAACTAAGCCTAATTTTCACGGACAACATCTCCTTATGACTGATCAGTATGTTCTACCTGCTCTAACATATGCCAGTGAAACATGGACCCTAACCTCACAATCAATACAAAAGCTAAGAGTGGTGCAAAGAACTATGGAAAGATACATGCTCAGCATTAGAAAACAAGATAGAAAGACCTGCACATGGATTAGAGAACAAAGAAAGTATATGATATCATCAAGAGAGTAAAAGAATTGAAATGGAAATGGGTTGGTTACATAGCAAGAAGAACTGATGGCAGGTGGACCAAGGCAGTCGTAGAATGGATCTCATTTGACAAAAAGTGTCCCTGAAAGAGACCTAAAACAAGATGGATTGACGATATCAGCAAGTGTTGCAGATCCAATTGGCAAAAGAAAGCTCAGGACCATATTGATTGGAAACATGTGGAAGATGCTTCATCCTGCAGTGGATAGAAATGGCTAGAATAATGATGATATATACATACAAGAGTGTGTGTGTCTGTGTGTGTGTGTGTGTTGATTTCTATGAACTGCACAAGGAATGTCTATTTTATATTACCGTACTTTATTCTAGTCTAAAATAAGATAATCAATCTAGGTAATTAGTGGCTGTGAACCTTCTAGTGAATAATCAGCCCCTGAATAGTAATTCTCCAATGTCTAGAGAGCCAAGATACAACTTAGAACATCAGAAATCCAGACAGAATTGGTAACATATATTTGTCTAATTCTGTAGCCACATACGTGTAAAATCCCTAGCATCCCTAGCTTGACCTACAGAAATGTAGGTTCATAGAAGGAGCGGCTTTTCACATAGAAATAACTTTCACTGCTCTGATTGTGCAAAGGTAACCTTAATAGGTTTCCTGGTTTGTCTTGCTTAAAAAATGTCCCTTTATAATCATGATCCTTTGTCATTTAAACACTGCAGATTTTGCAATAGATGGTGAAGCATACAATTTTATTTTTAATGGGAATAGTATAAGATTAGTATATAAATTTTATTAAGACCTCTGTTAATTTAATAAAAATCAGTATTTATATAATTAATGTAAAATATAGATTTCATTTGTTGGACATCAAAAGAAATGAGAAAAATATATGCCACCTAGTGGTTTTTTACTGCACCTTTTTTTTTCAACAGATGAATTGCGACACAAATCCACTGGAAGCTGGACTGCAATATTTTATCAAATTAAATAAGGTGGGTTTATTTATTTTTCTACTACACTTTATCATTTTCTTCCTTTGTTTGCAAATAGCTGTTATATTTGAATCTGTAAAACACCAGATAATTATACACTTCAGCAGTAATGTACCTTGGTGTACCTAGCAGTGTTCCTTCCTTCCATCTCATTTCCCAGTCCATGCTGCAATTTAGGTACATAATTCAAACTATAATGTGATCTACTAATTAATTTCATTTTTTGGCACTTTCCAAGTAATTTGGGAATCAGAGCAGTTCCTTCATAAAGTTCTAACTTAGCTGAAATAAAATTAGTTGCACACACCTCAGTTTTACTGTAAATTATATATGCATAATAATAATTATTTATGCATAATTATCAAGCTATTAATATGATGAAATAAGGAAATGTAGGTTGTTGGAATTTTTTTACAATTTGCAAACATTTTAGTTAATGAGTACTATTAAATGGAACTTGCCATGTAAGATGCATTTAAAACTTACAATACCAGATTTTCTGTTACGCTCAAATTAGAAATTTACAGTTTTACCAGAAAAGCTGGGATAATCTTTTTAGAGAATGAGAAATTTCTTCCTAGCACTTCTCATTTTTAAACTATCTCTCCTTTTGTATGTCTGTGTAAACTTACCTTGGCACTATTAAAACAGTCCATGATCATATGATTAGCACCATCTCACAATTACAAAATGGCGGAGCTGTAGTCATGTGATTGCAATTACACAGTCCTCATTTAACAACAGCTGGGACTGCTGGAGCTGGATCGCTAAGTGGCCTGGTCATGTGATGTTACACTACACAGCCATATTGCTTAGCAAAGGCAATTTTGTAATCAGTACGGAATCAGCTAACAATATGGTTGTGACCTTATTCAGTTCGTTAAATATTTTCTTGTAAAAAGGAGAAACCATTTCAAAATATTTTCTTGACTGTATTTTTAGGAAAGTACATTTGGCATAAGTATTTGGAACATGAATCAGTGAAATATTGGTTGCCTTTAGGGGCAAAATGTCATATCTTTGTTTAACTATGAAAGGAATTTACTTCAGAAGGCTGTCTTGCAATTAATCAAGAACAGCCAATGAAGAATAATTAATTTGAAAGTACTGCACAAGTATGGTCTCCTGTGTATTTTAAGGTGGTGTTTAAAGCAGATTGCAGCAGATGCTGTGCTCTCATATGCATCTGAGTAGTTTTGTGTGTATAATTTGGCTCTATTCCAGCATTCACAAGTGATTTAGCAAATAAATCATGCTATTAAAAGATTGCACATATCTTTTGACAGCTTTCTACATAGTAAAAATAGAGAGTTTTTTTATTGTCCTTAATTGCCTCCTTTTGTTTTCCTCACCAGATAAAATAATCTTATTATCTGGGAGTTACTGTCCATATTCCACACTATTTTGGGTACTTAAATTTTTGTAATTTCTACAGCTCCTGAGGCTGGATTAGTCCTTGTGATCTTTGGGAATTATCTTTGAGAATGCAACACAAAGTATTTTATCACAAAAATATACTATAACAAAAGAAACAAGACCGGTCTCCTCTTGCCTTCTTTATTTTTATTACTGTTACAATTAGCAAAGAAAATACCAGTAAATAAATTTTCAGGAATTAAATTATGAAATCAAGAACATAAATTAAAATGATTTGCAGATGATGTATTTACAATTAACCACCCAAAAAACTTGTTAGAACAGATAATAGAATATGCACAACAGTAAGGCTCATTACCAGGATATTGACTTAACCTTTAAAATTTAAGAGTGAACTTGTTCATTTTTTATTTATTCCATTTTTGCCAACTATACAAATAATTCAACTAGTAAAATGAACCTAATAGAGCAGGGGGGTCAAACTCAATTTAATTGAGGGCTACATCAGGGCTGTGTTTGACCTCAGGGGGATGGGGTGGGTGTTTCTTGTTGGCGTGGCCAACAAGTCACTAGTGTTGGCGAGGTACTTGTGGCGGCCCAAGCGCTCTGCCAACAAAAATGGGCTCCCGAGCTTCATTTTCAGCTGCAGCAACCTCCTGCAAACCTCTGCCAGCAAAACTGGAGCTCGAGGAGCGCCACATTCGGCCCTTGCAAGCTCTGTTTTCAGCTGGCAGAGGCACCGCAGACCGGTCATTAACTGTTTCCAGGGCAGCCCCACAGGTCAGATATAAGCCCCCTTGCGGGCCAAGTCTAGCCCCCAGGCCTTGAATTTGACACCCCTATAATAGAATATCACATTCATATAAAAGAAATGTACAATATCATTTGTCAGCGAAATTCAAATCTTCAATTACAGCATACCTTTCCCCCATACTTAATAATATTACCAAATTTTAATAGTTCTCCTGAAACATAGAAGTGAATGTTTTTCATGTATATATTTGTTATAAAATGTTTGCTTTTTAAAAAACAACTGTTCATCAGGGCAGATAACTTTAGCTGTCTTCTTTATATATATTCTGAACAGTGAAGTGTCTTCTATGCAATTAATGTAGAAGGGACAGCTAAATGATTCACACTTGCTGCCAGATCACACTCAAAGCTCTAATTATGATTTCTATATTAGCCTTCATGCAAACTATTAGTTCCATTTCTAATTATAGACTTATGAATATCAGAAGAATAATGTTGAAGATAAGCACTGGGGAGATTAGTTGTATTTGAATGTGTTTTATAAACAGTGTTTAATTAGAATTTGTAGAGACAATATATGGAATTACTGCTTATGGAATATAGCAAGGATGACCAAAGTAACTCCCACATTGTACGTTAATTCTCACTGGAGAAGAGCTCAAACTCTTTTCTGATTAACTGGGCAAGACTTTGCCTTGGCCAAAGCCAAAAGACTGTACAGCCAATGTCCAACTCAAAATGAATCTAATTCAATAGATACCTAGAATAGTCCTCCCTGCAGCCCTGCAGGTATTTCTGTTGCACCTTCTAATCAAGGAGGGATTATTCTCGTTATTCTAAACAGGGCCACCAGCTGGTACTCGGTGGTACAAATAAGGGCAGAGTAATAATTACTTTTGCTGCCCTTATTGCCACAAGGTAATCCCCCGCAAAGGCTCTTAACTCATATTCAGTTGGGTTTACTCTTCATTATCTTTCAACAGCATTTCCAGGCATCTCTCATTATCTTCTCAGCCACCATTTTATTAAAGTGAACTGTAGAAATTGGCCATGCTTACTGCAGAATTCATTGTTGACCAGATATTTAAGCATAGAATAAAATAGAATAGAATAGCAGAGTTGGAAGGGACCTTGGAGGTCTTCTAGTCCAACCCCCTGCCTAGGCAGAAAACCCTACACCACTTTAGACAAATGGTTAACCAACATTTTCTTAAAAACTTCCAATGTTGGAGCATTCACAATTTCTAGAGGCAAATTGTTCCACTGATTAATTGTTCTATCAGGAAATTTCTCCTTAGTCCTACTGTAGGTTACTTCTCTCCTTGATTAGTTTCCACCCATTGCTTCTTGTCCTGTCCTCAGGTGCTTTGGAGAATAGCTTGAGTCCCTCTTCTTTGTGGCAGCCCTGAGATATTGGAACACTAGATTTTATTGTTTTCATTTCTCGTGGTTTGCTCTCACTTAAAAAATGTTTCTTTTCTCTTTTCTGGCCTGGAGTATTTATATACAAATTAGCTGATTCTTGGATGACATGTGATGCTATTGTCACTGTTCTCTTTATCTGCAAATTGCATGGTCATGATTTTTCGTAGCATAGCCCTCACTTCTGACTGATACAGATAAAAGCTAAAATAAATGGGAGGGAGGGATAATGAATGAATTGCAGTATTATGAGCCGAGGTGGTGCAGTGGTTAGGGTGCAGTACTGCAGGCCACTTCAGCTGACTGTTATCTGCAGTTCAGCGGTTCTAATCTCACCGGCTCAAGGTTGACTCAGCCTTCCATCCTTCCGAGGTGGGTGAAATGAGGACCCAGACTGTGGGGGCGATATGCTGACTCTGTAAACCGCTTAGAGAGGGCTGAAAGCCCTATGAAGCGGTATATAAGTCTAACTGCTATTGCTATAAGTCTAATGAGAAGAGCCAAGGTGGCGCAGTGGTTAGGGTGTAGTACTGCAGGCCACTTCAGCTGACTGTTATCTGCAGTTCAGCGGTTCTAATCTCACCGGCTCAAGGTTGACTCAGCCTTCCATCCTTCCGAGGTGGGTGAAATGAGGACCCAGACTGTGGGGGCGATATGCTGACTCTGTAAACCGCTTAGAGAGGGCTGAAAGCCCTATGAAGCGGTATATAAGTCTAACTGCTATTGCTATAAGTCTAATGAGAAGAGCCAAGGTGGCGCAGTGGTTAGGGTGTAGTACTGCAGGCCACTTCTGTTATCTGCAGTTCAGCGGTTCTAATCTCGCCTGCTCAAGGTTGACTCAGCCTTCCATCCTTCCGAGGTGGGTGAAATGAGGACCCA